ACGTGCCCGTGGGGTTGAGCGGGTGGCTGGAGGCCACACAGGGAGATGGCGGCAGAGCCGAAGCTGCACGAGGGTCCCCCGTGGTCCGTGCTGGAGCTGGGACTGAGCTGCGTCTTGCTGCCCCTCTCAGCGTTCGAGAAGCCAAAGCAGCCCTGGGGCTGCGTGGGCCTTCCCTGGCCATGCTGGGTCCTGGCACCGGCCCCTTGTCGCTGCCTGCAGGAAGCAGGAGCAGATGTGCAACGAGCTGGCTGCTTCTCACACTCGAGGAGAAAGGCTCTGGCAGCTCCTCCTCTGGGCTGCATCCTGCCCGTGTTCTCGGGGACATCAGTCCTCAGAGCAACAGCTTTAACCCGGGTCTTGCTGTCGGAGTGGCCTGGCAGCCTCTGCAAGGAGGTGCTGAGCCCCTGCCCTGACCTGCCGGAGATTCCCGGTGCCCTCACAGCTCCCTGCGGCCGGGCTGCAGGAGGAAGGGGCCCAGCGCCCTCACTTTGCCTTTGGGAAAGCCGCTTGCTGAGGCCCCAGCAGTTAACACAGACTTCCCGGGGCTGCTGATGGGAACCAGATGGCAGCGAGGGGCCTCTCGCCCTCCGCCGTCCCGGTGCTTTGCTGCACCGGAAGCCTCCGGCGCTCCAAGAGGCTCCCGGCCAGCGAGGGCAGCTCCGGGGCTGGGCACATCCAGCATCTGCCCCCAGGGCCAGGCAGGAAGGTGAGGAGGGAGCGGGAGAAGCTGCCGGTGACCAAGTGGTTTCCGGGATGAACTTGCCCTCCTGGTCAAACTCCCTGGTCAGAGCTGCAGGGCCAGGACTGGCACTTCCCTGGCCACGCTCAGTGACATGGGGGACACCTGCCCTGCGGCTGCTGCAGGAGCGCCAGCCCCACGGGCTGAACATGGGGTTGTGATTCCGCCCGCAGAGCTCGTGGAGCCGCGCGGGCTGCGGGGTCTGGGCCTGCCCTCCGGCCGGCTGGCAGCTGCGGCGTCCCGTGTGCCCCGTAGCTGTCCCCGCGCCTGCACCACCGTGAGCCCTGCTCCTTGCTGCCACACTGGGGCCACTGCTGCTGCCATCGGAGGCTGCTCCATCCTCCTGGGAAGAGGGGACAACCCCTTGGAAAGAGAGGATGAAGAGGCCACCGGACTGCCCCTGTGCACGGAGGGCTGGTGTCAGTGTCAAAGGCCTCACACCAAATCCCCTCCTGCGCCGACTGATGCCTCCCTGAAAGAGCAACGAGAGCCGCTGGGAGCCCCCACAGCCCTCCCGTGGCTTCTGACTTGGGATTCTCTTATCGCTTCAGCACACCCTTCCCCTCCGAGGTTTCTCCTCCCGCCGCCCGTCCTTGGGCAGGAAGGATATTTAGCAACCTCAGTCGCTGTCCTCGCAGGCAGCCCCCAAAGGAGCCTCTCGAGCGCTGGGGAGGGCACCGGGCCGCGAGCGGGGCACGTGCACCGCGGGGTGGGCGAAGGTGAGCACGGGCAGAAGGAGCGGGACCTCATTTTCACAGAGTCCCAGAATGGCTGAGGTTGGAAGGGACCTCTAGAGATCATCCAGTCCAACCCCCTGCTCCAGCAGGGACACCCAGAGCACGGGGCACAGGGTTTCCTTTTTAGGAGGAAGGAGACCGGGACTGCATGGGGGGCACCAGCCCATGGGGCAGGGTGACAGAGAAGGGGCCAAGGCGAAAGGTTTTGAGAGGCCCAGGAGCAACTGGCAGCTGGAAAAGGCCAGGGAGCCACGCGGGTGCCCGTGGGGAATCATGGAATCATTGGGGCTGGAAAAGACCTTCAAGGTCATCGAGTGCAACCGCAGAAGAAGGGGATAAGGAGAGAGGGGGAAACTGAGGAAGAGGAGCAGGTGGCAGTAGCAGGAAGAAGAGTTGGAAGAGGAAGGGAAGCTGCAGGAGAAGGGAAAGGGCGAGAGGCTGGTGCAGAGGCCAAGGGTTGTGCCTCTGCCTTCGGGATGCGGCGGGCACAGGGAGCACAGGGCTTTTCTGGGTTCCTCGAGCTCTGTGCGGAGCCCAGTGTGGCCCCTGAGCCCGCCCCGCGCCGCAGGAAATAACAAGCAAACTGCGGCGGGGACGGGAAACGGCGGCGGCCACATCGGAGGCAGGTTCTCAGGGGAGGCTGGGGAGGGTTTGCGGGGAGACGGGGTGGGACACGGGTCCCCCGGCCTCCAGCAAAGGCCCCGCGGCGCTTCCAAATGCGGTCACTAATTTTGAGCGCTTGACCTGCGTGGTTGGGAGCTGGACTTGGGCTGCCCCCAAAGCCAGGCGTTCGCAAACGTCCCCGCGGCCTCCTCACGGCCGAGTCGCCTCCTGCGAGCTCCGCGCCCTGACCCTGCACCCCCAGGCAGGGCTGGCTGCTGCCCTGGGGCTCCCCGGCACCCCGCGAGCCCTCGGGCACCAGGGAGGCTGCCCGGGACGCTCCGAGGCAGCCGCAGGTTTCGGGAGGCCCCAGCCAAGACCGGGGGCTGCTTTGCTGCCCCCCTGCACCAGTCCCAGCCTCGTGCAGCTGCTCCGGGTTCAGCAAACCTGACCTTTTATGGGTGTTTTGAGGGCAAAGCATAACGGGGAAACCCCCCAAGGAGCCATCGGTGTTTTTTTCATCTGCCTCTTGCCACTTGGGCTGGTTTGTTATGCTGCTGTTTGGTGTTTTATTCTTTTTTTTTTTTTTTTCCTGTGCTGCATCAGAACTACACTGAGACCTGTCAAACTCCGCGGTCCTCGAGCAGCCACCCACAGCTGCAGCTGCCCTCCACGGGTCCGGTCAGACAGGCCTAAACTCCTTGGGTTTCTCCCCAAAACCCCACGCTAACCCGCACGCCCCCACCGTGTTGGTGTCACGCACCAGGGCCACGTACCAGTCACGCTCCTACTGACGTTTCCATTCCAGGTGCTGCAAGACGCCTGCGTTGGAGACCCACAAGCACCAGCCTCAGCATTACGAGGAGGAGGAGGAGGAGAAGGAACCATGTTCCAGGCCAAGGGACCCGCCAGCTCGCCCCCAGCTCACGTACGTAGCAGCCCCTGTGGCTTCCAGGAGAATTTGCAAACCGGGCTGGTTTGTCGGCAGGGCCAACGGGGGCCCACCGGGGTTTTGGGTGATGGACGCACAGTTCACGCTACTCAAGTGAACCGGGGACAGGGATGTGCCAGCAGAAGGTGCTGTTCGCTGAGCCCAGGCGCTGGCCCGGCCCATGCCGAGCCACTCGCCCTGCTCGTGTCTCGAGTTGCTCCCTGTTTGTTTGTGTTTCCATGGCTTTCCGCGATCACAATTGCGAGCACGCGAGCTGCCGAGGAGCCGAGCGATCGGAGCTGCAAAAACAAAAAGCCTCAAGAACATCTCCTGCTGGGACAGGATGCGGCCCTTCCCCGAGGGAGGATATATCAGATGTGAAATAGATAGTGCGCCCGATGGGAGCCAGGAGGCTGCCGAGCAGTGCCGCATCGCCTGGAGCCTTGGGAGCGGATGTGCTGCAGCTTCAAAGCGGCCGCGTTTTCCTTAGCTCAGCTCGGTTGAGCCCCAGCCCCGGAGGGCACCTGCGGCTGCTTCGCCAGGGCCCCGGGACGCGGCGGGGCTTTCAAGGCGCAGGGCTCCCCTGCTGCGAGCGGGAGCAAGACGCGAATCACGTCGCTGACCTCAGCCGAGGAGAGCAGCTGGGAACCGTCTGGGGAGGCAGCGCAGTGAAGCGAGAGCTTCCTGCGTGTGTCTCAGGCAGTTTCCAAAAATACCGAGGAGGAACGATGGGGAAGGAGAGGGTGGCGGGGACAGGGGATCAGTCTGGGGGCAGAGCGATGGGGTCGCAGGAGCTTTTCCAGCTCACTTACGGTGCAGGCGCTTCCCGTGCTATGCGGGCAGCAGGAGCAGTGAAGAACTCAAGCGCAAAGAGCCGGTTGGCACAACGTGCGCCCCGGTGCACTGGGGCACCCCGGCTCTGTCCTCGGAAAGGTGGGGACAGTTTACCATAGAGCAAGGAATAACGGTGACAGCAGGGCGAATTATTGCTCTCCAGCCCTCCTGTGAAGAGGTGACTGAGGGAGCAAGATGGAGCTTCCCACAGGGGAAGAGCTGCTGTCAATGCAGAGCCTTGCGGGCTGGCGTGGGCGCAGGTTTGCTCCCGCCACGGCGATCCTGCTTCGCTCGTGCCGCAGCCGCCCTGCGTCGCTCACGCCGCCGCGGCCCTGCAAAGCTCTGTCCCCACACTCTGCTCCGCCGGCCCTGGGCCTGGGCTGAACTGGATGCTGAAGCCGGCTGCTTCCACTGGCTTCCGAGCTACCTCCATGAGGGAGCAGCCCTGGCGCCTGCCGTGCAGACCCTGGGGAAGCGGAGCGCTCTGCGGCTGCACGTACCTGATGCGGTGGCTCTGGGGAGCGGAGCTGCGTGAGAGAGGACTGGCTGCTCTGCCGTACAGGGCCCTGCTCAGTCCCAGCTCTCATCCCGGTTTCTCTCCTTCCCTCCCCAGGAGGCAAAGAGCAACGCGGCAGGGAGCTCCGTGCAGCGCTCCAAGGTACTTGGCCTCCTACTGACCGGCGGCAAGGGGGGAAGGAGCCCCAGGCTGCTCTCAGCACCGCGGTACAGGGTGGGCAAGCGTGGATGGGGCTGCTCCGTGTTAACCAGCGCTCCAGCAAAAACGCTGGAAAAGAGGGAGGTGGTGGGACATGGGCACAGGATCCCCCAATGACGGTATCACAGCTTTTGGTTTCCTCTTGCCCAGTCCTTCAGCCTGAAGGCCCAAGTGAAGGAGATGTGCACAGCCTGCCAGAAAACCGTCTACCCCATGGAGAGGCTGGTGGCCGATAAGTTCGTCTTCCACAACGCCTGCTTCTGCTGCAAGCACTGCCACACCAAGCTCAGGTGAGCGGCCGGCGGGCACCGCAGCCACCCCTCGCAGCCTGGGGGCAGCTACAGACCCCGTCCATCTGAGCAGGGCACCCAAAGACCATGGGGAAGGGAGGACAGCCAGCCCTGACCCTTCTGCCCTGTATAATATGTAAGTAGCAGGGGACAAAATCGAGGTTCTGCTGCTTCCCCGGGCCCTTGAGAGCAGGCTAAGGTGACATGGAGCTTTGCCAGAGCTTCCTCCTGGGAGACGCTTACGTGCCCAATGAAAGCCAAGCTGCCCTGCCAGGCCCCGCTGCTTTACACACCTCCAAGGATGCTCAGAGCAGCCTCTGATGGTCCTTTCTGCCCAGAGCTGCTCCCCGTGGGACGCCCTCCTCCTTCCTCCTCCTCCTCCTCCTCTCTCCCCTCACTCCCCGTGGGACAGCCTGGCTAACAGCTCTGCTCCTCCCGCAGCCTGGGCAGCTACGCGGCGCTGCACGGCGAGTTCTACTGCAAGCCCCACTTCCAGCAGCTCTTCAAGAGCAAAGGCAACTACGACGAGGGCTTCGGGCGCAAGCAGCACAAGGAGCTCTGGCTGCACATGGAGGTGGAGAGCGGCACCAAGTCGGCGTGAGCGGGGCCAGCCGCCCCTGTCCCGGAGCCCCGTCAGAGCGGTGCTGAGCCAGGGGCTAACTGAGCTGATGTAAAGCAAAGGCGACCATGAGCCCGTGGGCAGGAAGGGGAGGGAGGCAGCCTGGGTCCAGGCTCTGGGAGTTTTGGAGCATTTCTTGGAGCATTTGGAGGGGTCCCATGGGCCATAAGGATGGGGCAGAGGTTACCAGGGCACAGCCCCAAGCCTAGAGCCCTCCCTGCAGGTCTCTTGCCCTGATGAGATCAGGCAGAAACGGCTTCCCCTGCAGGACCCCGGCCCCCTTCCCACCTGCAACCGGGAGCAGGAAACCTGGGGGCTGTCAGAGCCGGCTCCAGCGCAGCCTCTGGGGCACTGCGGGCTCCTGTCCTGATGCTCCCGATCACTGGAGCTCCCACCACAGGGGACCTTTGGTTTGCATCAGCTCAGTTCAGCTGGGATCGTTCAGCCTTACGGATGTTGCGACTGTTTAACAGTGTCTGTCTTTTTTATATTTGCCTTTCATTGGTACGTTCAGCCCTGGAGCCTGGCACGGCAGCTTCACGTGTGCCACAGCACCATGCGCTCGTTTATTTTTGTAATACAAGGTTTTTGAGCCTTCCCTGTCTTGTCCTGTGTTCCTGGGCCCTGGGGAGGTGGGCGCAGGGGTTAGGACTTGCCTCCTACCCACCAGCGATGGTGAAAGAGTCTCAGCCAATGGAGGCTCAAAACAGCTAGTCCCGTGTGTTTAACATCACGCCGGAGTGGACGGTTCCGCTGGGGACTGGCCCAGAGCTTCATCCAATGCATGAGCCAGGGGAAGCAGGTGGGTCTATATGCATGATTATTTACCTCCCTCCTTCCCACACAACTGGAAAACTGGCTTGAACCCTGTGTGATTCAACACACCGAACACAAGAGCAGCAAAGCGCTCACCGCGCCGCGGAGCGTCTCATGGCCCCGCTCAGGGCCTGGCCCCTTCCTGCAGCAGAAATGGAAAGCGGCCTCCTCGATTTCGCTTCCTGCTTCTCGCTGGCTTCACTTCCCCGTTCGCTCACACTGGCAGGGGCTGCTCCTCTCTGCACAGCAGGGAAATGACATGCAAAGCTCAAGAAGCGATGCCTGAAGATCTTTGGGTGGGGGAGGGAGAAAAAGAAAATCCAGCTCCTAAATTTTGGGCCTCTGGCACCATAACGGGGGGCCCCAGCAAGGTGACCCAGGGTGCAGGGAGGGCAGTGAGGCAGGTGACTATCACATTCACACAAGAGGTAGAGAAAGGTTTGACACAGCCCTGTTTCCCAGCACGGCTGCTGCTCATGAAGCAGCTGATGGCAACTTCTGCTTCCCTGACCAACACACAGGGGAACCCAGGCAGTAACACACCCAGCAAGGAGTTTTAAACAACGTTTTGGGCTTATCTCACCTGCCTGATGTATTTGAAAGGTGACACCAAATGACAACACGTCATTTCCCAGGAGCAGCGGGGCAGGACACAGACCTGTTCAGAGCAAACACTGGTACTCTGCACTGCAACACCCTCGCTGGCAATCTCAATCTTTCAGCAAGTGCCATCACTCCTAACCCCCTCGCTAGCAGGCTGAGCCGGTGCCGGGCTGGTGCTGAGCGTGTTCAGCTACTGGCCCGCGCACAGGATGCTCAGGCTCCTC